TCCTACTTGAGAATTAGTTATTGTTTATTTTTGCAACATTTATGTGATGGGATGTATCTGCTTGGCTATAAAAAGGTGAGATTTCTTTCTGTCCTTGGATTGTCTTTGAGATATATCCCGCCATTCAATGATAAGATTGTTTTCTTTGTCTTCTGCCTGAGTGACTAAGTTTTCTAGGTTCGGAGAAGATTTGTTTTAAATTAGATTTCCCTAACAATTTCGGCGATAAGGATGGTGATTCCTGACCACTCTAATGCTAAATCGGGTATGCTTTCTCATCAATGAATGCCTGAAAGGACGAACGAAATAAGAGAGGTATGATACTGTCGATGTTACAATATAAATAGAACACAGACTGTCTCTGGAAGAAATTCTGCAGGTGCATTTTGCTGTAGAAACTGCTAGGAGAGCCAATTCATCAGGGAAATGGAATTAATGAAAGAGGTGTGTATTTAGATTCTTAGCATTCATTTCGGATAAGCAATGAGTCAAACTGTACTATCGGTGCCTCCTGCTTGTACCTTATTTGCTAAATCGGGCAGTTATACCCAAAGTCTCCTAAGCCTGAAGGCTGATTCCGAAGGAGGTGTCGCCAGGGTCTTAAGAAACTCAGCGCGCGCTTCCTGCTCGGGCGCAGGAGCCGCTCGGGGCCTTCTGCGCATGTGCGCTGCGCTCCTCCCGGTAGTTCACGTCGCCGCCGCGGCATCGCGAGAAGACGGTCCCGGATGCTCTCGCGACTGAGGGCCTGTGGGCAGGCGGGGAGGACGTGGTGGGTGAGACCCGGGTGGCTGTGGTGGTTGTTGGTGACCGGTGGGACGGAGGCCTTGTGCGGGAGGGGCCGGTGACGGAGGAAACGGCTCGGTGCCTGAGCGCGGGGTGAGCCCTGCTCCGTCTGTATGCATCGAATGAGAACCAGCGCGTCCCCGCGCTTGTTACCCAGCGAAGGTTCGTGTTGTCGTCTCCGAGGTGAAGGGTCGCCCGACGCCTTGGTAAGACCGGCGGAAACTGGCCCGGGGGCGCTCGTGGGTGGTCGCTTCTCTCCTGGGGGGGGGGGGGGGAACCTCGTTCTTCTTCACTCGGGTCCGTCTTCGTCCTCCCAGCCACCGGTGGTCAGTGTCCCGTTCCCATGGTAACCGCATAAAGTCCTCTGGGAGGTGACGGAAGCCCAGGTGGCGAACGAGTAGATGCGTTCTCTGTCTCGCATCAAACCTGAGAGCGAGGCCGACGCAGTAGCTGCAGGAGACCTGACCTCTCCTGGGGAGTAATTTTCAAGTGAACGTGGCCTTGCATTGGGGGAATTCATTGTTGTGTCTGGAGAACCCGAATGATGGCGTCCAGGTCCCTCCGGCACCCTGCAGCCTTGCCTGTGCCCTCGGTAGCAGCGGTTTGCGTTTACAGAAGGTCCAGCTTGCGATTCAGGGTTACAGGAAGGGCCAACAGCTTTCGATCTTGGGTAAGGATTCTTACTGGCTATGCTCAGTTTTCCTGGAACAGGGCAGCCATTGTGAGGGAAGAAGGGGGCCCCCAAGAGCAGGAATCCCTCCTAGGACAGTCGGTCAATTGGCCCCAGACCGCAGCAGACATGCACAGCGAATGTGGAAGGAGCAAAGACCCTTGCCAGGACCGCCGTCGTGTCGAGATCCTCGCAGACTGGGTGACGGTATTCGTTCTGGGCCAGCTTTCAGGAGGGACGGAAGCTGTGGCTGGGAGAGGAGGGTGAAGCAAAAGGAACGGAGAATACTTAACTGCTCGCGAGGGAGGTGTGGGGGCATCATGTGGAAGGAAGGGCTTGCCAGCCAAGTGGAAGGAAACCACCTCTTTCATCCCTTCCTTCTTTGCTCCACCCCCAGATTCTGAGCCCTTCGCACAGGACAGCACAACTAGCCATGGGCTGAATGCTCCCTCTGTCCCGATCTGATAGAATCCGAGATGGTACTGCAGGAGAGGCCTTTAGGTCTCAGTGACCGCTCATAGTCACACATTTTGTGCTGGCAAAACCAAAAGCAGACATTGAGTCTCCTGATGGCCCTGGCAGGTGTTTTCTGCTTTGGCAACGGATAAGTCAGAACCAGTTTGTGGTGGTTGTTTTTAATCAAAAGATATGTTCAAGAACCTAAAACTGAGTTAAAGCAACCTCTTTTTTTTTTCCCCTTACGAAAAAGATCAGCCCTTAAAATTCGCTCCCTTTTTTCAGAACCTAGTGGGACTCTCTGGTGTGTAATGAAATTTACGACTTGAGTATTTTTTGCTCAGCATCAGTTTTCATGAAAGCCCTATGTTCCATTCCTTGGCTTGTCTTAATTTGCTTAATTAGTGTACTGTGTTGTTTACCTTTTTCTGGGTTAGAGTGTACGTTGTTAGTAACTCAGTAAAAAATTTTATTTATTTATTTATTTATTTATTTATTTATTTTTTTTTTAATTTTTTTTTCAACGTTTATTTATTTTTGGGACAGAGAGAGACAGAGCATGAACGGGGGAGGAGCAGAGAGAGAGGGAGACACAGAATCGGAAACAGGCTCCAGGCTCTGAGCCATCAGCCCAGAGCCTGATGCGGGGCTCGAACTCACGGACCGCGAGATCGTGACCTGGCTGAAGTCGGACGCTTAACTGACTGCGCCACCCAGGCGCCCCTATTTATTATTTTTTTTTGAAAAAAAATTTTTTTGAGAGAAAGCGTGTGTGCACAACATGGGGAGGGGCAGAGAGGAAGAGAGGGAGAATCCCAAGCAGGCTCTGCACTGTCAATGCAGAGCCTGAAGCGGGGCTTGAACTCACGGACTGTGAGATCCATGACCTGAGCCAAAAATCAAGAGCTGGATGCTTAACCGACTGAGCCACCCAGGTGCCCCAACAAAATTTAAGTATTTTATCTTTAGTACGTCTCTACCCAACATGGGGCTCAAATCTACAACCTGAGATCAAGAGTCGCTGGCCCCACCTACTGAGCCTCCAGGCACCCGGAAAACAAATGTTTTTACATTTAAAAACGAGTGAGTCCCAGCCCTCCGGAATTGTTCCTGGGCTGCTCTTCCCTTCCTCTCATCCTTTCTGTCCCTTCTCAAAGCATCTCCCCTTCAGAGTTGCTTTGCCAGCAGCTACGTGGAATTTTGTAGGCTGGTGGCATCTCTCATGATCCATCTTTCCTTCTCAGCTGTGCCCTCCTGGCTATCCCTACTCTTCCAGGGCCAGCAGAAGATGATCACATCCCAGGTGAGTTGTTCATTTACTCACAGTTTTGCCTAACAGTGATTATGTGAGGTTTATACAATTTGTGCGAGGTTTATTATAAAATGTCTGTACCTTCATATGAAATAATACAAACAAAAATGTTAACATCAGGGAAGATATAGAGCACAAGTCCACAAGTTACAGTACATGGGCCAAATACAGCCTGCTGCCTCTTTCTCTATGGCCCACAAATTAAACAGAAACAAATCAAGAGTGATTTTTTTTTGTGATATGAAATTCAGATTTAAGTGTCTCTGAAGTTTTATTGGGACATAGCTGCACTCATTTATTTGTGGCTGTGATTGCTTTCATATTACAGGGGCAGAGTTGAGTGATTGTGACAGAGATGGTATAGCTCGGCAAGCCTAAAATACTTACTAGGTGGCCATTTACGGAAAAGGTTTGCTGTTTGCTGACCTCTGATACAGTAGGGCAAAGATGCCCTGTAGATAAATGCACATCTTGAGATCTTACTGAGTTTTGAAACTGGAACATAAAAAAGTTTTTTGATAACCTTCATTTGGTGACATTGTGTCCCTTCCAGTGACAATCCTGCAATAACTAAAAAAGCGGTAGGAATAAAGTGAATAATTCTCGTCCAATTCAGAGGAAAATTTGAGTTGCACATGAATTGTGCCAGCATTAGGACTCATGGTTGTTCAAAGAAGGAGCGAATTTGGACAGACCATGGTGATCTAGGATGGTCAGGAGGAGGAGGTAGGCTTTGTGACTGCCCTGGGGACTGGGCAGAATCTAAATTTTTGCAGAGTCTGGTGAGGGATTCCACTCTTTCAGTTGTGGTAAAATACACATGATGTGTAATTCACCCTTAATCCTTTTTAAAGTGTAGAATTGAGTTGCACTTAATACATTTACAATGTTGTACAACCATAACTGCCATCTCCTGTCAGAATAGTTTCATCACACCAGAAAGAAACCTCATACCTTTTTTTTTTTTTTTTTTTTTTTTTTAAATTTTTTTTTTCAACGTTTATTTATTTTTGGGACAGAGAGAGACAGAGCATGAACGGGGGAGGGGTAGAGAGAGAGGGAGACATAGAATCGGAAACAGGCTCCAGGCTCTGAGCCATCAGCCCAGAGCCTGACGCGGGGCTCGAACTCACAGACCGCGAGATCGTGACCTGGCTGAAGTCGGACGCTTAACCGACTGCGCCACCCAGGCGCCCCCTCATACTTTTAATAAGCAGTGCCGTGACTTAATGAACAATTCCTCCCCAGTCTCCCCAGCCCCTAGCAACCACTAATCCACTTCCTGTTCGTGGATTTGTCTGTCCTGGATGTCTGATATAAATGGAATCATACAATGTGTAGTCTTCCATGTGTGACTTCTTTCACTTCCTTTAATGTTTTCAAGACCCACCTATGTTGTAGCATGTTATCATTACTTCATCTCCTTTTGTGACTGAGTGATACTCCCTCGTGTGTACACACCACCTTTTGTGTGTCCATCAGTTGATGGGCATTTGGAGTGATTCCATGTTTGGCTATTGAGAATAGTGCTGCTGTGAGCATTCACGTACAAGCTTTTGTTGAAGACCTGTTTCACTTTCCTGGGAGTAAAATTGATGGCGCATTCTATGTTTAACGTATTGTGAAACCGCCAAACTGTGTTCTGCAGCAAGGTCCCTTGCAAGTCCATGTGAATTTTAGATTAGCCTTTCTATTTCTACAAAACAAACAAAGAAACAAAACAAAACACGCACACACACACAAAACACACAACACACAAAACAAAAACCCTAAAGCTGTTGAGAATTTGATAAGGATTGCATTGAATCTGTATATCACTTTGGGGATGTTTTATAATCCGTGAATGTGAGGTGTTTTTCCATTTGCCTAGGTTCTTTAATTTCTTTCAGCAATATTTTGTAGTTTTCAGTGTGCAAATCTTACAACCTCTTGCTTAAATTTATTCTTAAGTATTTTATTCTTTTAGATGCTGTTGTAAGTGGAATTGTTTTCTCTTTTTTTAAATTTTTTTTTTAACGTTTATTTATTTTGAGAGAGACAGAGACAGAATGCAAGCGGGTTAGGGGCAGAGAGAGAGGGAGACACAGAATCCGAAGCAGGCTCCAGGCTCCGAGCCATCAGCACAGAGCCCGACGCGGGGCTCGAACCCATGAGCTGTGAGATCATGACCTGAGCTGAAGTCGGACGCTCAACCGACTGAGCCACCCAGGCGCCCCAGTGGAATTGTTTTCTTAATGCAACTCTGATTAGTTTCTCTTTCAACTTAGTTGACAGCAGATAACTGAAAACACTTGATTGTAAAAGGAGATATTATTCATTCTCACTCACCAGTCAGTCGTTCCATCCTCTGATATCCTGGAGGTTTTGCGGCATGGGGGTAATGCACCTTAGTGAGATTTTACATGTTCTTTGTGAATATATTTTTTAGTAAAGAACATGTGACTAGACATTTTTAGCCCAATATGAAATGCTATGTCTTTTATAGTGGGAATTTAATGTTTCCTTTTTGTTGTAGTTAGTGATACGTGGTTTTAACTCCTTCATCTTTCATTGCAATTTTATTGTCCACACCTTCTTCTTACATATTAAAAAAACTCCAATATATTGAGGTGAAATTCATATCGCAAAATTATTATTATTTTTTTTGAGAGAGAGAGAGAGAAAGAGCAGGAGCATGCATGCCGGGAGAGGTAAGGAAAGAGGGAGGGAGAGAATCTTAAGCAGACTCCACACCTAGTGTAGAGCCTGATGATGTGGGGCTCGATCTCACAACCATGGTATGATCATGACGTGAGCTGAAATCAAGTAGGAGGCTCAACTGACTGAGCCACCCAGGTGCCCCCAAAACAAAATGATTTTAAAGCAACCAAGTCAAATCAGTACATTTAGTACACAGTGTTATGAAACCACTAACTTTATTGAGTTTCAAAATATTCCCATCATTCTAAATAAAGCCCTTTACTCGTTAATAAGGTTCTCCCCGTTCTTCTATTCACCCAACCCCTGGCAACCGACAATTTGTGTTGTGTCTCTACGGGTTGATCTGTTGTGAATATTTATTACAAGTGGAGTCAGTCAGCAT